GTCCACGCCAATGTATACACGAGACCTCGTTTTTTCGTCCCAACCGAAAAACAAGACAGCTGTCCTTGTCTGCCTCGAAAAGAATAGAGTCCCTATATATGATATGAACGTAGAAAGGGGATGCGATGGGGCCGGGGGGGGGGGGTATTTGACATTTTCATGTGGCCTCGTCGAGTCGATAAAATCAGTCAGTTAGTTCAGTCGAATAATCCAGTCGAATAAACCAGTCGAATAATTCAGTCGAAAAGTTCAGTCGAATACTTCAGTTGAATAATCCAGTCGAATAATTCAGTCGAATAAACAAGTCGCTCAATATTAAGCAGCGGTGGCAGCGGGCTAAGATAATATAGTAGCAAATCATGCTCGTAGCCATAGCTGAAGGAGCCGGGGGCATGGGGTAGGGACCGGGGGGCTTCCCAACTAGTTTCAAGAAATGAAATGGGGTTTTAACGTCCTACTGTTCTGCTTGGAACTGGGCTAATGAAGACGGGCATACGCCATACACTGTGCGATGAGGGAAATTTTGCCCGGACAGCGGCACTACGGCATACTATTATATCGAATTCCATCAGTTAAGGGATCTTTTACGTCCACGCCAATGTATACACGGGACCTTGGTTTTTCGTCCCATCCGAAAGACTAGACAGCTGTCCTTGTCCGCCTCGAAAAGAATAGAGTCCCTATATATGATATGAACGAAGAAAGGGGATGGGGCGGGGGGTGGGGGGTGAGGTATTTGACATTTTCATGTGGCCTCATCCAGTCGATAAAATCAGTCAGTTAGTTCAGTCGAATAATCCAGTCGAATAAACCAGTCGAATAATTCAGTCGAAAAGTTCAGTCGAATACTTCAGTCGAATAAACAAGTCGCTCAATATTAAGCAGCGGTGGCAGCGGGCTAAGATAATTAGTAGCAAATCATGCTCGTAGCCATAGCTGAAGGAGCCGGGGGCATGGGGTAGGGACCGGGGGGCTTCCCAACTAGTTTCAAGAAATGAAATGGGGTTTTAACGTCCTACTGTTCTGCTTGGAACTGGGCTAATGAAGACGGGCATACGCCATACACTGTGCTATGAGGGAAATTTTGCCCGGACAGCGGCACTACGGTATACTCTTATATCGAATTCCATCTGTCAAAGGATCTTTTACGTCCACGCGAATGTGTACACGGGACCTCGGTTTTTCATCCATCCGAACGACTAGACAGCTGTCCTTGTCCGCCTCGAAAAGAATAGAATCCCTATATATGATATGAACGAAGAAAGGGGATGGGGTGGGGCGGGAGGGGGATGAGGTATTTGACATTTTCATGTGGCCTCGTCCAGTCGATAAAATCAGTCAGTTAGTTCAGTCGAATAATCCAGTCGAATAAACCAGTCGAATAATTCAGTCGAAAAGTTCAGTCGAATACTTCAGTCGAATAGTTCAGTCGAATAATTCAGTCGAATAAACAAGTCGCTCAATATTAAGCAGCGGTGGCAGCGGGCTAAGATAATATAGTAGCAAATCATGCTCGTAGACATAGCTGAAGGAGCCAGGGGATGGGGTAGGGACCGGGGGGCTTCCCAACTAGTTTCAAGAAATGAAAAGAAATGAAATGGGGTTTTAACGTCCTACTGTTCTGCTTGGAACTGGGATTATGAAGACGGGCATACGCCATACACTGTGCGATGAGGGAAATTTTGCCCGGACAGCGGCACTACGGCATACTCTTATATCGAATTCCATCTGTCAAGGGATCTTTTACGTCCACGGCAATGTATACACGGGACCTCGGTTTTTCGTCCCATCCGAAAGACTAGACAGCTGTCCTTGTCCGCCTCGAAAAGAATAGAGTCCCTATATATGATATGAACGAAGAAAGGTGATGGGGTGGGGCGGGAGGTGGGGAGATGAGGTATTTGACATTTTCATGTGGCCTCGTCCAGTCGATAAAATCAGTCAGTTAGTTCAGTCGAATAATCCAGTCGAATAAACCAGTCGAATAGTTCAGTCGAATAATCCAGTCGAATAATTCAGTCGAATAAACAAGTCGCTCAATATTAAGCAGCGGTGGCAGCGGGCTAAGATAATTAGTAGCAAATCATGCTCGTAGCCATAGCTGAGGGAGCCGGGGGCATGGGGTAGGGACCGGGGGGCTTCCGAACTAGTTTCAAGAAATGAAAAGAAATGAAATGGGGTTTTAACGTCCTACTGTTCTGCTTGGAACTGGGCTTATGAAGACGGGCATACGCCATACACTGTGCGATGAGGGAAATTTTGCCCGGACAGCGGCACTACGGCATACTCTTATATCGAATTCCATCTGTCAAGGGATCTTTTACGTCCACGCCAATGTATACACGGGACCTCGGTTTTTCGTCCCATCCGAAAGACTAGACAGCTGTCCTTGTCCGCCTCGAAAAAAATAGAGTCCCTATATATGATATGAACGAAGAAAGGGGATGGGGTGGGGCGGGGAGGGGGTGAGGTATTTGACATTTTCATGTGGCCTCGTCCAGTCGATAAAATCAGTCAGTTAGTTCAGTCGAATAATCCAGTCGAATAAACCAGTCGAAAAGTTCAGTCGAATAATTCAGTCGAATAAACAAGTCGCTCAATATTAAGCAGCGGTGGCAGCGGGCTAAGATAATATAGTAGAAAATCATGCTCGTAGACATAGCTGAAGGAGCCGGGGCATGGGGTAGGGACCGGGGGGCTTCCCAACTAGTTTCAAGAAATGAAAAGAAATGAAATGGGGTTTTAACGTCCTACTGTTCTGCTTGGAACTGGGCTAATGAAGACGGGCATACGCCATACACTGTGCGATGAGGGAAATTTTGCCCGGACAGCGGCACTATGGCATACTCTTATATCGAATTCCATCTGTCATGGGATCTTTTACGTCCACGCCAATGTATACACGGGACCTCGGTTTTTCGTCCCATCCGAAAGACTAGACAGCTGTCCTTGTCCGCCTCGAAAAGAATAGAGTCCCTATATATTATATGAACGAAGAAAGGGGATGGGGTGGGGCGGGGGGGGGGGTGACATTTTCATGTGGCCTCGTCCAGTCGATAAAATCAGTCAGTTAGTTCAGTCGAAAAATCCAGTCGAATAAACCAGTCGAATAATTCAGTCGAATAAACAAGTCGCTCAATATTAAGCAGCGGTGGCAACGGGCTAAGATAATTAGTAGCAAAGCATGCTCGTAGCCATAGCTGAGGGAGCCGGGGGCATGGGGTAGGGACCATTTCTTTTCATTTCTTGAAACTAGTTGGGAAGCCCCCCGGTCCCTACCCCATGCCCCGGCTCCTTCAGCTATGTCTACGAGCATGATTTGCTACTATATTATCTTACCCCGCTGCCACCGCTGCTTAATATTGAGCGACTTGTTTATTCGACTGAATTATTCGACTGAACTATTCGACTGAACTTTTCGACTGAATTATTCGACTGGTTTACTCGACTGGATTATTCGACTGAACTAACTGACTGATTTTATCGACTGGACGAGGCCACATGAAAATGTCAAATACCTCACCCCCCCCCCCCCCGCCCCACCCCATCCCCTTTCTTCGTTCATATCATATATAGGGATTCTATTCTTTTCGGGGCGGACAAGGACAGCTGTCTAGTCGTTCGGATGGGATGAAAAACCGAGGTCCCGTGTACACATTCGCGTGGACGTGTATGGCGTATGCCCGTCTTCATTAGCCCAGGGTATGGCGTATACATGCCCGTCTTCATTAGCCCAGTTCCAAGCAGAACAGTAGGATGTTAAAACCCCATTTCATTTCTTTTCATTTCTTTAAACTAGTTGGGAAGCCCCCAGGTCCCTACCCCATGCCCCCGGCTCCTTCAGCTATGGCTACGAGCATGATTTGCTACTAATTATCTTAGTCCGCTGCCACCGCTGCTTAATATTGAGCGACTTGTTTATTCGACTGGATTATTCGACTGAATTATTCGACTGAAGTATTCGACTGAACTTTTCGACTGAATTATTCGACTGGTTTATTCGACTGGATTATTCGACTGAACTAACTGACTGATTTTATCGACTGGATAGTTAGGAAGCCCCCCGGTCCCTACCCCATGCCCCCGGCTCCCTCAGCTATGGCTCCGAGCATGATTTGCTACTAATTATCTTAGCCCGCTGCCACCGCTGCTTAATATTGAGCGACTTATTTATTCGACTGAATTATTCGACTGGATTATTCGACTGAACTATTCGACTGAACTTTTCGACTGAATTATTCGACTGGTTTATTCGACTGGATTATTCGACTGAACTAACTGACTGATTTTATCGACTGGACGAGGCCACATGAAAATGTCAAATACCTCATCCCGACACGCCCCCCCCCCCCCCGCCCCATCGCATCCCCTTTCCATGTTCATATCATATATATTGACTCTATTCTTTTCGAGGCGGACAAGGACAGCTGTCTAGTCGTTCGGATGGGACGAGCATGAACTAACTGACTGATGTTATCGACTGAACTAACTGACTGATTTTATCGACTGGACGAGGCCACATGATAATGTCAAATACCTCATCCCCATATGCCCCCCTAACCCAACATATCATATATAGGAACTCTATTCTTTTGGAGGTGGACAAGGACAGATGTCTAGTCGTTCGGATGGGACGAAAAACCGAGGTCCCGTGTACACATTGGCGTGCACTTAAAAGATGGGGGCATATGGGGATGAGGGAAAAAGTAAAGCATGACTTTATTAAGCCGCGGTGGCAATAACACCTTAAAGTTTTAATTTGAACAATCAAATTTGAACATGAGGGGACGTAAAAAATAAACAAAAACAATGATAAAAGATATTGGAATTAGTGCGTTTTTTCTTTAACTTATACTGATTACAAACGATTCCAAAATTTTAATAAGCCATCGACCGGTTTATTCGACTGACTATTTGATTTGGACTTAGGGTCGACTCGTAATTTGCGTTTACTGGGTTAGTCTTGAACGACCGGTCTCTCTAAATGCGACCGTGAGACTGGGTAATCAAGAAATTGATTAAATAATCTCGACCAGGTCAAAGTCGAGTAAGGTTTGACTGTGTGGTCATAGCACAAGAAAGCACATGTTGGAAAGGCACTATTTATGTATGTCAAATTGAAAAACTGAAAGTAAGGTATGTCGATCGAATGTATTTCATAGTAATTTTAAAGAAATTCGTAAAAAAATAAATCCTCGTGGGGCTCATTTTACGGAGTGGAGAAGAGTTGTGGACGGACTCTTTTGATCTCGCTCTTTTTTTTATAATAAAAGAATTCACCAATTGGCAGTAGTTTCAAAACTCATGGTTTATGGTTTCTTAATAAAGTTGTGGGTTCATTTCGCGGATTGTTGTGTGTGTATGCATTACGTAACATTTCATCAGTCATTCACGATTAATTATTTTTTTTTTTGTAATCCGGTTGAGGTACGGCAGCTATGGTATTAATCTTTATCTTGCGTCTTATTTGGAATCATATTTTTGTACTACGTGACGTTATAACTGTTGACAATGTCTGCATCTTTAAATGTCAGACTGACTTGGGTTATTTACTGTCTTATTTCACACATAGTTGCCTTTAATATTTAGTAGCCTACAAGATTCACAGGGATTATTTAAAGACTTTTACTTGTTTGTATGATCAACCAATCTTTATTCATTTGTTACATACCTTTTATACTTCAGTGGTTGACATGGTGGGGATAAATAGGGTCAAAATCAGGTCTATGACCTGATCATGTGTTAAATATGTATATTTAGTAACTTAGTAATAAGTTATGGCATCATAGCCTACAATGTAGGCCTATATTATTATGTAACTGTAAGCTTATTATAAATTAATGTAAAGTTTACCCAGAATTATTGAAAACATCATGTCCCAGTTTTAGTATAGACTCAATGTTCTTTATTTGCCCGATTGCTCAGGCAGCCCGATTGCTCAGGCAACAAGATTTCATAGAAATGTTCCTGCTAGTGATAAATTTACTGTAGCAAGAACTTATTTTACAGTAAGGTACCAGTACTTAATAAAATAGAATAGAATTTTATTGTACCGGTATCAAGAAACGCATTGTTGAGGCGAGGGTAGCATACATGTACATATAAAGGTGAATCTCAATTATACTATTAGGCTACAATGTACAGGGTGCTGGTGTTGTGACATAGCAATGACATCCACTGCTTTTGCTAGTTAGCTTTTGGGGTGCCTGTAGTCTCCAAGGTTAATCTCGACTATTCTGAAAAATTTTGCATTAAAAATTCTTAGTTATTGTTCTTATCAATGGAGAGAAGTACCAGATATATTTCATTGAATAAAACTGGTAAATTCTGTGTGAAATGCTCTTAGACAACCCTTGTCGACAGCTTGGCCGATTTAGCTGCTGTGATTGTATGTTTCGTTTCCTGGAAACCTATCTTTCAGCTTGTATGTGGGCGTATCTTGCATGGTAACCACTTGTTCAATTTAAATATCAGTAGTACCAGTGACTTTCCACCAAGTCCAAGAATATTGTCCTACTCAGCAATGTGCCCTTTTTAAATAAATCAAGCTGCTCTTGAGCAAAATTTCTGGAGTTGCAATATTAAGTTTGGTGGACCATCCAACATAGATGATTGAATCAGTCATGCATGTCAAATTCAATGTAATCATATCTGAACATTGAACAATAGACCAATCGGCATAAATTATTATCCGGACATACATTTAGCTATAAAATGCTACTAATCGAGAACAATGATAATGTCATTATATTGATGAATGATGTACAATGTAGATGATAGCAGGTGGTAAATTCTATTTAACTATGCAATCGGTTGTATGTCTCCAGCTCATTTCTTGTTTCACAATGTTTCTCATATTACCAAATTTAGGTAATTAGAATAAGGTACTTCACCATATTCCCACAGACATGATCTTGTTCTTAACCAAAAATATAGGAAAAAAGTTAAAAATAAATAGAAAATAAAAAAATCGGTAGTGCCAAAATCTTTGGTAGTAAATATATTGTATTGAAGCTCAAATTATATCTGGTGGTAATTTTAAACTCAGGATCCTTATTTTTGAATGAATGGGATTGGGGAATAGACCTATCATACTACATAAAACCTTTCTCCATGAATTAAAAGAACCCAAACAGGATACAGCTTGTAATGTGTATTCTTGCAGTGAATTAATTTATTGTTATAGGAGACTGTATTTCAGGTCTGGTATTCCCAAAAGATTGAGGTCTATATCAGGTTTTGGCCTGCTGTAATATTTATTGTGAATATTTTAACCATACCCAGAGGCGTAGCTGTGAAATATATATTGCCATTAAAGGGACAATAACACTCTTGCTGGTGACAGCTCCAGAAAATAAAAAATAGCCTTATTCTAAGTACTAGATGTGTTAGTGTCCTACCTGTTGTGTAAATTATCCATTAAATCCTATTTCACTTGTCCAGAGGGTTCAAAAAAATTTAAAATCCAAGTCACATTTGAAAAGCTTTACTTCAGGCTTTTCAAATCATTTAGTTGAATTTTTCCAATTTTTTAAATTAGATGTGTTAAGATGAAATTTGTATCATCAATTAATTGGGATATTGTAAAATAGTACAATTTGTTGACCAGAATAAAGATTGGGACATATTATTCAGTTACAACAAGAGTGGTATTGAGCCTTTAAGTTTGCAATTAATAATGGAAATATTGTAATTTACTTGTTGAAAGTATGTTATTTGTATTCATTTAACATTTACTTACCAGTACTTAATTCATCCATCAGTGTAAATGAATGTAAATATCACAAAGTACATTTAATTAATTATTGATTGTTAATATCTAATTGTTCATCTCATAAATTGTCATGATATTGACCGAACAATTCAGATCATGACACATTAGCACATATTTTATACATGTTATATCACCATGTCTTTGCAATTATATCCTTCTATATACATATATGGGTTTTTAGTGAAATATTGTGTCGTTATTGAGCATTAGCTGGTCGTAGCGCAAATATCACTGTTTTTGGACAGTTTGACAGCAAAATTATTTTATATGCTGGTAAAAATTTATTGAAGCAGGTTAATAATAAGATTTTGGTTTCTACACATTCACACATAGCTGATATTACAGATGCTGATATTTTGGCTTCAAATGTTATATAAATTATTATTTAGACATTTATTCACATGACAAGCCTATAATCTACTCTTGAAGCCATCGGATGGCCGAGATTTGGATTTGAACACCCGGGAGATTTTAAAGTTTAACAATAGGTTTAGTCTGGATTGTCAAGTAATGTTTCTATGATAATAAATGATATATGCTACATCTTCATAACTTTGCTCAGAATAAAGTAATTTGAATGAAATTTCAATATATTCATTTGTCATTATCTATAGCTTTTCATCGAAATCTTACAATGCATCGTTAAAAAAATAAAAGAATAAACAAGTCAGCCGTATACTATCGTGAATTGAGTTCAATAAGTTCACTACTGGTTTAATATAGAAACATTCCATCAAATTCATCATTTTTTGACAGCACATTATTCAAATATAGAAAACAAAATAATCCTATTAATATAAAACATGTTTGTAATTGTGCATTGTGTTTAGAAAATGTTTCATATCAATAAAACATTTAAAATCTCAAATTTAGGTATGTATATTAATTTAGGATATCATTCGGATAAACTTTCAGAACCTAAATATATCAATACAAGTTACTTCAACCCAGGTGTTGACCGAGATGGTTCATCCAGATTTTCCTGGTGTGGTTCCACCTTGTCAGTGATACAGGATGGAAGGCCTGGCAAGGGACAATGTATAGTCGTTTGGATGGGAAGAAAAGCCGCGGTCATTTTTATACACCCACATTTTCACATGGACGTATTATGCCGTTGCCCCTGTCCGTCCACAATTTCTTTGTGAACATTCTACAGGTCACAATTTTTATCCGATATTGACGAAACTTGAAATATAGGTTTATCTCCAAAAGATCTCGATTCGCAATTTTTATCCGATTTTGACAAAACTTGAAATATAGGTCTATCTCCCAAGGATCTTGGTTCCTTTCGATATTGACATGTATAGAACCATAACTTCATGGATTATGGCCACTGATTGTTCGAAAAGTCACTTTTTTTTAGCTTGTGGACACTCTAGAGGTCACAAATTTTCATCTGATTTTGATGAAACTTGAAATGCATGTTTATAACCCAAAGATCTTGGTTCCTTTTGACATTCGCGCATATCGGATCGTAACTTCCTGAATTATGGCCCTCAGCTTGTGGTCCCTCTAGAGATCACAATTTTTATCTGATTTAAAAAAATGTTTAATATAATATATTACCGTTACACCCTAATGATGGTAGAGTTTGAATTTCGTGAAAATTGGACAAAAACAGCCTGACATAGAGTCATGATTAATATTTGAGTATGTTTTATTCATGAGCTTATATGCAATTAATATTGTTACTAATTAATACATTAAATTATGGTGATTTATGAAATAATTATGTGTTTCGGTACCTCCTTTAGATATTGTAAGCACTGCGTCACCATTTTATCTAGTTTTCATATGTTTTTCAATTTGTTTGTACAAACTTTAAATTCCTGGAATGCAGACCAAGACCTTTATTTAGGCAGATTTTTCTGCTTCAGTGACTTCAGTCTAGTTCTTGTGGATATGGAAATGACTAAAGAAATAAGAAGAGATTTTGCTACCAGGAACAATTATTGATATAACAAACGGTTGCTGTCATTTGATATTTACTTCAACTTACCCTGACCGCCTTTAAAATGTTACCCTTACTCTGTTGATATGACACTTCTAGAGTTAAGGAAAACATGTGCATTGTGTGGTCGGTAAAATTTCTTATTAAATGACACATTGAAATAATTACAGAGTGCAGATATATAAGCTGATATCAAAGTGGAAAGGTTCCTGTGCTAGCTATTTGAGTTCTTTTTGTGAAATATTTACCACCCACATCTGAATATGGCATAAAACAGTGGTTGTACAAAGTATGTTACAAACTTACATTATGTATGATTCAGATAAAAAGGGGGTCATTCAAAAATAGATAATGGAAAATAAATATATTGAAAATTTCATTCAAATTACTTTATTCTGAGTGAAGTAATTACTATTTGAAGTTTTGACAAGATATGACAAGCAACGGTACTTGTTAATTGATTCACCATTTTTATAGGTCCCCATTCATAATGTGGACGTATATTGCCAACCCCATTGTGTGTCGCCTACAGGTCGCAATTCTTAACTGATCGTCTTGAAACTTTACATACTTATTCCTTATACCCTACGGATGATCCCTTTTGAATTTGTATTTGTTTGTCGTCTACAGGCCACATTTCTTAACATATCAACTTGAAAAACTTTGTATACTTATTCCTTATACCCTAAGGAACTTCCCTAGTGTGTGGTGCATGCCAAACCCCGAGGACAGAGCCACACCCATTTTCTTTTTGTGTATCTGTGTTGTGTCGCCTACAGGCTGCAATTTTTTATCGATCGTCTTGAAAACTTTTCATACTTATTCCTCATAAGGGTGACCTCTATTATTTTTTTGGGGGGGGGGGTATGTCATTGAGTCAACTGGCGGGGTTTCGATTCCCCACTTGTATGTGACATCGAGTAGGGTCACCTGTCCAACCTCGTGGGTTTTCTCTAGGTCCTCCGGTTTAAATTGCTGATACGAAAAAGCCTATTGAATTTCAGCAATTCCTGTTTATTATGTCTAGAGTTATGGCCCTTGTTTCACTTTATTGATCCTTGTGAACGCTTTAACGTCAAAAGTTACCATCCGATCTTTCTGAAATTTATATGCATTATGTAGGTTACTGAAAAGAAGAAGCCTATTGAATTTCAGCAATTTCTGTTTATTACGTCTAGAGTTATGGCCCTTGTTTCACTTTATTGATCCTTGTGAACGCTCTAACGTCAAAAGTTATCATTCGATCTTTCTGAAAATTGTATGCATTATTTAAAAGTAGTGAGACGAAGAATCCTATTGAATTTCAGCAATTTCCGTTTATTACGTCTAGTGTTATGGCCCTTGTTTCACTTTATTGAACCTTGTGAACCCTCTAACTCCAAAAGTTATCATCCGATCTTTATGAAATTTACATGCATTATTTAGATTAGTGAAACGGAGAAGCCTATTGAATTTCAGCAATTTCCGTTTATTACGCCTAGAGTTATGGCCCTCGTTTCACTTTACTGATCCTTGTGAACGCTCTAACGCAAAAAGTTATCACCCACCCGATCTTTGTGAAATTTATATGCATGATTTAAATTAGTGAAACGAAAAAGCTATTGAATTTCAGCAATTTACAATAATTACTTCTAGAGTTATTGCCCTTGTTTCACTTTGTTAAACCTTGTTAATGCTCGATTGATGATAGTTATCATCCGATATGTATGAAATTTATATGCATCATTTAAATTTGTGAAACAGGTCTATTGAATTTCAGCAATTTCCGTCAATAATTTCTAGAGTTATGGCGATTGTGAACGTTTGAATGACAAAAGTGATCATGTGATCTGTATGAAATTTATATGCATTATTTAAATTAGTAAAACGAAAAAGCCTGTCAAATTTCTGTAGATTACTTCCAGAGTTGAGACCCTTGTTTCAGTTTGTAGAACCTTGTAAACCCCCAAACGACAAAATTTATAATTTGATCTGTATGGAACTGTCTTGTAAAGGCCCCCAATTACCTACAAAGGAATAAATATGCGACAACCCTTGACGACCGCTCGGACGATTTAGCTGCTGTGGGCGTATGTTTTGTTCCTGGCAACCTATCTTTTCTTTGTGTGTCTACAATTCTTAATGGGTCATCTTTGAACTTGACGTATGTACATGTATTCCTTATAGCCTAAGGATGGCAACTATTGATTTTGGTGCATGTCCCGACCCCCAGGGGCAGAGCCATGCCCAACTTTTGTGTTTATCTTGTACAGCCCACAATTCTGAATGGATCAGCTTGGAACTTGGCATATGTATTGCTTATAGCCTAAAGGCCCGTTCTCATGGTGCGACTTGTAGTAGCTACATGTAGATTACAAAATCGTATATAAATGAGTTGATACGACTTGGATTCTCGCGATAATCTCGTCTTGTCTTAGCATAATGCCTAATGGCGACGAAGAGACGCTGGCTATTATTGCCCTACATTTGATAAATAAGAACAAAAAGAAAAAGAGAAAACCCAAATCCGTCTGGGTTAGGCAGTGGATACTGCGTAGACCCACTGCCGGGGCGTACAGTTCCCTATTACGTGAACTTGAAGAAGAAGACCCTCTCAGTTTGAAAAACTTTCTGAGAATGCGCTTCGCGTCCATGTTTACCAACAACAAAGGGAGAGAACTCGTGTTTGTACTAATACTCAACGTCTCTGATTGGTCAATTTCATACGATCTGTTGACTGAAATAGGGACGTTTCTATTTCGCTCAACTCACTTTCAACTGGTTGGGAGCTTGTAAAAGTTGGTACGACTAGGGTGTTCTCACGCTGCATCTCGGGTCGATACTAGAAGTAGTTACTACAAGTCGCACCGTGAGAATGGGCCTTAAGGGAGGGAACTATAAATTTGCAACTATTGATTTTGGTGCATGATCTCTCTCTCTCTCCCCCACACCCCTTTGGGCTGTGCCACACCTACTTTTTGTTAATATTTTGTCTGTAAATGATGTACAGTTTGCAATTATTAACAGATTTAGATCCAATTTGGAATGGTCCATCATAGGATTGTACCTATGGATCATCGTAGAACTTGGCATCGTTATTCCTAATACTGTAAGGATAGCAGCTATTTATTTTGGTGCATGCCCCGACCCCCTAGGGCAGTGTCACACCAACTTTTTTTGTTAATATTTAGTCTGTAAATTTGGCAAAACAAACCCAACGCCTAGCATTCTTTGCCTCGTGTCGTAATACAGTCATTGTATAGCCACTTCATATTTCTTTCTCTTCATTTTAAAAAGTACTGTATCAATCAAAGCAAGAATGCAGACGTATATTGCAGTATTAGCGATGCTCTTGTTAAATTAAATCATTAAATGGTGATCATGTTTCAATCTGTTTAAATCTCCGCCATCCGATGTTCTAGAGAGTTGAGATTATAGGCTTGTCATGTATCTTTAAACAAAGTGAATCGGAATCCTTGGCTAGCGAAGATGCTTTAAACATTTATTGGCCCAGTCGGTGCAGATCAGTATGACGTTAAACCCCATTTCATTTCATAACATTTTTTTACAAGAGGACTCATTGGGACATTTACATATCTCAGAGGATCCCACATCTGTGTTTTCTCTGTTCTGTTACAGCTTGTGAAAGTTGAATCTATAATAGGAATAGAAGTCTAAAAGTTGTTCAATTTCATTTAGTTTTTACAAAGATATGATCTATGCTGCTTCCTATGTATACAAGCTCACTGTCTTCTTTATTATTCATAAAATGTTTATTTTGTCTTAATTATTGGATATCAGAAGCCCATCTTTTCCCCGTATGACCACAACATCAATGTTGATTTAAATTGACAATTAATTCGTGTTTTCAATGTCGAAGATTTTGGATGATATTGAGTTAGAGACTTCTTAGCTACTTTAAATAATCCATCTACATGTAAGTACATATTAGTGTAGATTAAGCCATGAGAAATTTAATATTTTCCGAAAAATGCAAATCATGCACTGTTACTTTAAATAAAGGTTGATAAGTGCATACATACTGTGTCCTTATGGTACATGCATGCCGTAAGTGTATCTGTAGAAAATGTAAATTTTGATATTAGGCCTACATGTACATGAGCTGTTGAGCATATTATTTTCAACTGTTTACTCTGCCAATTCGGACAACATAAGTACATAATGACCTCCTTTCTCTCCTTTTCTGCCTCAGATATTTCAGTGAATAGGCTTAGACATTATAGGTTGACTATCCTGTATATCATTTGATCAGACTGAGAAGTGTGTATAGGTCATATTATGGGACTCTGGTGAAATTCGTTCAGAAATTAAATCATTTTTTTTAACTTGTTTACGCAATCTTGTTTTCAGAATATATATATGCTTGTGAGACTTGGGATAGCAATAATATGCCATGAGTTGGATTTGAGTTTCAAGTTAAACTTATCTTTTGTGAGTTAAATTAGATATATTTCTTAGTTTTTTAACCTAATTCATATAGATTAGTTAAGGGACAGCTAATTATGTAAGGAATAGTTGTATTATAAAGTTTGAGCCAGTAACTGGTTCTATATACTTGATAATCTTGTGGTGATTTTGTTCTTGGGGTGACACTCTTAACAAAAAAGTCTGAATACAATGGACAATTGTGCATCAATTGATCGAGACTCCTATTTTTACATGTACGGTAATATGAAGTCACAATTCCAAGATGATTGCCATGATATCATGGTATGTTTCTAGTTCATAGTACTGGTACGTCTGTACTAGGTAGCAATGTAGGTGGGTGCACAATCACAAAAGATATAACAGCTATAACATATATAGTATTATGTATTATCAATTCAGTTCATAATGATGTCATGTGTGAAAAACTGTTATTGGTTTGTAAAGTTCAAAGGTTCACAATAGTTATTTTCTAATTATCTATATGGCATTTGTTCATTTATGTACCGGTATATGGGTTCTCATTTTGTTTTTATACATCTGTACATGTATGTACAGGTCATGTGTTATTTCACTTACTGTTTTAAATTCTATTGTATTATCTGTGTTTCAAAGGGCTATTTAAGTAGTTTTCTATCCATTAGAAAAAAAATAATTTACTTCATTTCTTATCTTAACATATTTAATATTTAAAGATCTGTTCCTCCAGTATAATTAGGTAATATATTTGACCGTGATGTTGTCCACATTATAAGTAGACAAATCTCTAATTATTTTCAATTAGAATGAGGTGTCATGCATAATGGCCCCTGAAATGAAATGTCCTACTGTTCTGCTCCGAACTGGGCTAACGAATACGGGCATATGCCATACAGTGTGCTATGAGGGAAATTTTGCCTGGACAGCGGCACAACATCCTACTCTTATATCGAATTCCAACTGTCAAGGGATCTTTTACGCGCATGCCAATGTATACATGGGACCTCGGTTTTTCATCCCATCTGAAGGACTAGACATCTGTCCTTGTCAGGTCCTCTGTCCAGCATCACTGAGGGGGGGGGGCCAGGGAACCATGCCGGAAAATCTGGATGAACTTTCTCAGCCAATGCAGGGATCGAACACCCGACTTCCAGACTTAGCTAGCATCACCTCCTAATGGCCCCTGTCTTGATACTAGTATCTGTAGAACTGAAGTATCTTGTAAGATATGCTTAGGGGAACAAATATATATTTTCTTGTTGGATCAAACTTGATGTACATGTATTTATTTATGAACTCGACTTATGGAAATATATCTTTTAATATACCAGTACCACTATATAAAATCTTGATTAGCCATTAAGAGATGGATACATCTAGTAATTAATCTTAGATTTTAAGACGAGAAATAATTATCTGTCCTTCTTATCGATGGTTCAATAGTAGATGAAATGAAATGGGATTAACGTCTTACTGTTCTGTACCAACTGGGATAATGAAGACAGACATGCCATGCAGTGTGCTATAATAAAGCATAGTCTTACTCACTGAGACACCATAACTCCTATCAAATTTTGATATTACATGTATCTAAACAGGAAAATGTCAGTGAAAGAACTGCACGTTAATACATGTATATGTACAAGAATAATACAATATAATTTAAAATAATATTCATGCTTATTAATTGAATATTTAACTTGCAGGCATTCAAACTACCATCAAATTATACTTAGAAATTTTGGATTTTTACTCCATCATTTGTGCTTAGTCTTGATTTTACTGTGGGTACATCTATTTATTGTGGTATGTTTTTTTTTGGCCGAGTCTATGATATTACACTAATCTATCGCTTTGTTTTTATGAATTTTGAATTGGATTGCCATTAAGTACATGTACACATGTATATAGTACTGAATTTTACTGTTTAAATTTTTACCATTAAATACCAATAATGATAAATTATAATTAAAATTAGTAATTATCATTGAGGTTCTTAATACAAATGTTAATATTTTTCAGGTGTTAATTTTGAAACCAGAAGTTTAACAAAATGAGTTCTGCACCAGGAGCAGGTGCTGGGGGATATTTCTCCATGATAGATTTTTTTGTTCTATCAGCAGCAGGTGGTTTTGCTATGTACTGGTTTTTCTTCAGGAACAAAAAGCAAGATCAACCCACATTCAAAAAGTTAACCGTTACGTAAGTACATGTAGGATTGTTTTAAAAAGATATCAATGGTATATTTCATAGGGATAGGTTTCCAGAATGATCTCATGTAAAGTGGCATTAATCCAAACACTGTTGGGATAGAATTATTTATGTTAATTTCCTCTAAAAAAACACACTCACGTACACTATAACTACATGTACTATAACTTGGGACTATTAATATGGGTCTGTCTGTCTGTTTGTCCATCTGTCTGTCTGTCAGACTTTTTGGGACACAATAACTCTCCTTCTAATTGAGCTAGAATTTCAAACTTGGTGTAGGTGTTTATTAGGTGAATGCCTTGATGGAGTTCAAAGATGAGCCTTTTCTGCTTAGAGTAAGCAGAGATAAGCAATTTGATTGGTTCATGCTTTGTTGGGACATGATAGATTTAGTTCTGATTAAGTGAGAGTGATGCAACTTGGTGTATAATTACATCAGTACCTGGATGTTTGATAATGAGCATTTTCTGCTCAGAATAAGCAAAGCGATAAGCAGTTTGATTGGCCAAGACTTTGCAACACAATAACTCTCCTTCTAATTGAGGTAGAATATTCAAACTAGGTGTCTTTTAAGTGAATGCCTTGACAGAGTTTGATCATGTGCATTTTCCAGTTGGGCTAATCAGAGATAAGCAATTGTTTGGTTGCGACCATGGAACACGATAACTTTGGTTCTAAATGGGTGAGAGCGATGAAACTCTGAGTATGGAATCCATACTATGAATTCATTATATCAATACGTTAAGTTCAAAGGTGAGAATTTTCTGCTTGGGTTAAGCAGCGATAAGCAGTTTAATAAATCAAGACTTTGGAACATAACAATTCTTAATTGAGGTAGAATGTTTAAACTTGATGTACATGTTCATTAGGTGAATGTCCTGACTGAGTTCAATGATTAACATTTCCCGCTAAAGCAAAGCAGAGCTAAGCAATTTCATTGGGCGATGCTTTGGGACAAGATAACTTTGATTCTAACTGATGGAGAGTGATGGAGCTTAGTGTATAGCCTCACTACCATCGAAACTTTGAGTTTGATCATGAACATTTTATGCTTAGACTAAGTATAGATAGTCAGTTTGATTAATTAATATGTGTCATCTATTTATTTTCAAATTTTGGTGGGGGACATCAGCCTCACTGTTGGCTTGTTTTATTAAGTCTTATTCATACCAGATTCATTATGCATTGTACCAATTCTTGAGACTTCATGATAATCCCACAAATTACCTCGTTCCCCCTTGAAGACTATTTTATCTCCTGTTTGTCATCATACTATAGTATTTGGTATCTTTACAAAAATGTTATATCTTTTAATAGCTGTAAGAAAATGTTACATGAGTCATAAAATATGGTATGCGTAAAAAGACATTAATGAAATTAACTTAAATGTAACAGAATATGAATATTAATTGACTATCTCAATTTGGGCTCTACTGTCAAAACCTTTAAAAATCCTGCAGTTATTCTTTAACCATGTGTTAATTTATAATAATGGTATATATATACATGTATATATATTTGAAAATATAAACCATTTGGACACCAAAATGGGATGAAAATACCTCCTGAGAAAGAAACAATGAAATGGAACCTAGATTGTCTACTCTCTTCCATTATACTCCCTGTAAAATCAACTATTTTTATTTTAAAAAATATATATTTCAAAATACCCTGATGAATTATGGGGCGTTTTATTTTAAAGACATTGTTGATTTTATTTCTAGACCTGTGGTAGAGAGAGGAAGCAGTTCAGGTTTTATAAATAAAATGAAGAATACAGTAAGTACCAGTGTTTATATTTTAATTAAATTCTTGGCTCTTTATCAAAATAAGCTTTTTGATCAGATAGCCAACATTTCAAGTTAGCTTTTATTTTGATTGACAATTGTGTTGAGTTACAACTTACTTGTACGTCTTAAAATTCCATGTAAATATAGTTCTTAATTGTACAAAATATTCTTAACGAAAATCAGATTAATTTCAGAAAATGAACACCATGCAAAAGCCAATTTGTATTTAGTTTAAACGGGGTTACTTTGCCATATTTTTAAATTATTTCATGTAGTGCTCCTCATGCAAGACTTTGCTGAAGTCGATATCCATAGGTTGGGGCTACTTTGCCCAGCCCTACGTAGGCGACTATTGCAACATGCATTACTCCATAGTCGTTAATGTTACCCCACATAAAGGGTTAAGTTTAATTTTATCATTTACTTAGTTCATTGTGTAACACATTTCAGAATTATTTTTTTAAATAAAAAAAGATTTAGTAATAAATAACGTTAAAAAACACTTTCACATTTCCGCAATTACGGAAACACCCGACATTTAATTAGCTGAAGCTAAATCACGTGAACACTTGTGTAACAGTCGATGTCTATATTTCAATATGGCATCGGCAGAAAGTGGCTGCTTGTCAGACATTAATTTCGCCCCAAATGTTCAATGTTCTTACCTATCAGTACGAGCCAATTAGAAATGTGAGCAACAATGGTGACGGTGATGGTTGTGAACATTCTACCATTTCTAGCAAAGAAGAATAATCGCTGCAGGCTGTGTTCGGATAAGGTCAGAGTACCTTGTCTTCCTATCACAGTCCTTCGATTCTTGATAACTTTTCGCTTTATTTATTGATGTTCACGCTTCATCGGCGAAAATATATCAGAAAATAACTATTAATTCCAATACGTTTACCCTAGTCATAGAGTAATATAGTATTATATGCCCTAGCCTTTCTTTGTGCAACAATTGAATAGGCCTATCCCGCCTATCGCTGAAAAAAATTTCCATCACACTTGTTTATCTAGTTAAATCTGACAGACTTCCTAACATCTAGGACTAACTATAATTACCTGCAAAATCATCTACATGTACATAGGCCTACACTTACTACTGACGCAAAAATAGCTTCGAAAAAGGGAAATTATAAATTATAATTTAGATTAGTATTTAGACTACCTAGACTCCTGTGCTGTTTACATGTCGTTGCTATGGTTACACCAGTCATTTATATTGCCACATTTTGAAAGTGTGTCGGTTTCACCATAGAACTATGCACAGTTTTAACATATAAAGATAACATAACTGCTATATCTTGATCAATATATATTATAATAATAATATTAAAATTTCACTGGTCAGTAGACATTAGTACTTAAGCCAAGGCCGATTAACCTAACTTAGTACCTACCTCGGTTTCACATTGCTTCCTGTAAGCGCGTCGAGTCACATTTGCACTGTCAAAGTAAACAACGTTTTCCTCAGGAATAAGGTGGGCATGGCATCTGGTTTGAGTTTTGCTCTTAGGTTTTCATATCCCAGTTCCTTCAATCGAGCAGGATCACGTTCATAAGCAGATAACTCAAAATGCTGCAAGCAAAGACCTTTCTGCGTGTTGCCTCGCATGGAAATTTGAAAAAAATGACAGAAGCTTCCTGATTTATTGTTGGTGCTATTACTATTAGTACATCCCCAAGCAACGCAATTGAACATGTTTATGCATCCATGTAGTCAATAGTGACGGGATGCAATGCTCAGTTGCAATAGCTTTCTATAGGAAAATTCACAAGGTCTGTCGTCTCTAACCTCACTCACGGAAAAAATATTTATATTATTCCTTTGTAGAAATATTCAGAATGACTTTTAAAATTTCGCAGGGCCAAAAATATTCTAATATCAACTATATTTTTCAATATTGACCTTTTGTGTTAGTATTCTCATTTGAACAAATTTAATAAACATACATTTTAAAAATGTGTCTAGTACTACGATTAGAGAAGACTACAGGGATAGATAATAGCGGATATGAGGTAACCAAAGTATAATATGGTGTAAAAATGAACCATCTCTTTATTTTTATCATATATATTTATTGTATTATTTGAAATATTTTATATAGAATCGTAATGTGGTAGTATTTTATGGATCACAGACTGGTACAGCTGAAGAATTTGCTACACGTTTAGCTAAAGATGCTACAAGATATGGTATGAAAGGTATGGTGGCTGATCCAGAGGAATGTGATATGGTGGGTATATTTATATTATCTCATTATTCAGTGTATAATAAATGTAACCACATATATATTAATAAGGTAGTACTATTAATGTTTTCAATATCTGAACAGTTATAGTGGATTCCTCATCTCCTGTTCTCTCAATTCAAATGTAGTAAATAGTAGTTATCTAGGACTAAAGTTACATAGTAACACATTGGTTTATATAGCCCGGAGTAAAACATTTATTTATATAGCCCACGGCAACTATATTATTATCTGATCAATAGTGATATGTTAGAAGCTGGAAGAATTAAATGAACATGGACAATAATAGTCACATATTACTCAAACAGTCCCAGCCACTGATCTAATCTGATTTTCATAATTAGAGAACAACACATATATATGACCCATGCTGGCAAAATGAATCGGAATGCTCAAAGTCTAATAAAAAATATACTATATATCGATCCAAAAGATCAGAATAGCAATAAAACATTTTAAAACGCCTTTATTTGGCCATTATTTTAAGAGAACCAAATATTTTTTTTTTTTTACTCTGCTCGAAGTGGAACATCCGGCCAATCCTTGAAAATATCAATAGACATAATTGTACACGCAAAACTTTATTTTTAATAACAGAACACATGTACCGCTGTGGGGACTTCTATGATGATTAAGAAACTAAACTTGATTACCCAATCAATAATCTTAATCTCCTAACAAGTAGCTAATTAATTGATGAGATTAACCGAAATTATTCTCACCAGTGTTATAATATAGGAAATTATAACACTATCATAAGAAATGTGAATATGCCAATGGTTTTGTTACAAAAAGAGTGCATTGTATGAGATAATTATTCCAGTTGGCGGAAAAAACATATAAACATTTTTTTATATAAAATTATTATCCATTTTTGCGGAAATTGTAGGATCAAATTTTTACCACGATTTTAGACATCAGAACCCTTGAAAACTTACAGAAGATAATATTACAATAAAATATCAAATTAATGCCATGGTTGCTATGTGATTTTGTTTCGGAACATTCTGACATGTTTTAACTAGCTTTTTCTAAAAACTTACTTTCCTGACTTGGTCAGCTTCATACAGAGACAGCTCAGTCAATTTTTGCCCGATTTAAACGAACCATACACCATTTTGAATGTATTGATATGGAGAATGTGACAATAACTCGATTTTCAAAATTTACTCATTGTGACTCATTTTACCAGCACAGGTCACATACATTATAGAAATAGTTCCATTATATAATCTGTCACAATATTGCAGCTATTTTATACAGTTTTCATTTAATCATGAAATTAATTATAATCCATTTCTGATTCTTGGAAACACTGTGACTGTCTGAGTTGTGACTTTTCTGTTTCAGATAACAATTTTTGATAATTCTTTGTTGTGAAAAATAAGCATTATGCAATCCACATATACAACCGTTCTGTTCTCTGTGTTGTATTTTAAAAAAAAAATAATTAATGTATCTTTACAGGAAGACTTATCACAGTTAACCGAAATAGAAAATTCGCTAGTTATATTTTGTTTAGCGACATATGGTGAAGGTGATCCTACAGATAATGCCCAGGAATTCTATGATTATTTACAAGGTGGTGGAACCGAATTAGATGGAATTAAATATGCTGTAAGTTGTATATATATGTAGGTCTTCCACATCATAAAGCACAGTTGATAATAAAGCACAGAAACTTCGCAATATATATATTTTCGAAGATCAAACAAATAGACCTATTCTCGTCATTTTATATGAGTCTTGCATAACAATTAACTTTATTGTTCTACTTGTTCTAATTAATCAACAAAATAAAGAATACATTTGATGACAGTGTATTCTATTCTATAACATCTTGGCATCTACATGTTTTTCTCTAATCTGTACAGGCTGTTTAATTTTATAGTTATATGGCATAGGTCGATTGTAGCCATGTTTGAAAATGGGGTTGTACAACATATAAATAGACTAGTAGATCCCAAGCTATTGCAGTCAATTTGTAAGACAAGCAGACAAGACCGGGATATATGACTTGTCTTAAACCACACTAAAATGTAAACACTAAATTGATTATTTAACATTTAATTAAGAAAAAAAAATCAGAAAGTCAATGGTAGATAATCTGCTGGATTGGATTCAATCCAAGTAAAAAGATGCCCATCAAAAGATTGTAAGTGGAATTGGTTTCTTTTGATCATATCCTGTTTATTTCGTCTGCTAGAGATGCCTAATGTTATCAAATTTTCAATTCATCTTATCTTTGTGAATGACTGATCGATATTTCTATTAGGGATTCAACTTTCATAGTTTTGTAGTTTGCAAGGGATAAGTATTCCGCAAGTGACTAACAGAGTTTCTAACACAAGTTAATAACCTACAATTGATAAAAAACAGTTCAAATACAGTGATGCCTATGTTATTTCAGTCAAGAACATTAAGATAGTTAAACTAAGGGTTTATAATATCAGTGTTTTTACTGTTTTTGTATTATTATTACAGGTGTTTGCATTAGGAAATAAAACTTATGAACATTTTAATGCTATGGGAAAATTTGTTGATAAAAGATTAGAAGAATTAGGAGCCACTAGACTTATTGAAGTGGGATTAGGTGATGATGATTCTAAGTAAGTAACTTGTCAATGAAATCTCAGTGTTGACCATGAAGAACCGTACAAGCTTTTAGTATTCTGGAGTAGTGCCCATGTGACTGTGTTGACTAGTTATTTGAATGGGATGAATTGACAGTCCGAATTAAAATAACTGTAGCACGACCGTAATATATAACATTAAGTGTATGTTAGTCTCCCTAACATGACCGTAGCAAATAACATTAATTGTATGTTAGACCCCAAATCACACGACGCATTAATTCCATTTCATTTCTTTTCATATTTGAAAAACTTACACAGTACATTGGCTTGCCCTGATCTAGCAGTCAAGCCACTAACATTAGCTACATTAAACACAAAGATAACGTGCTATCATGCTTCCTTATGAAAGATAATCTGTCAAGACACATGCTACATGACGTATGTGTTTACAATTATTGTAGCCAGGGTTTATTTATTATTGACAGTATTGAAGAAGATTTTGTATCATGGAGAGAAAAATTTTGGCCAATCGTTTGTGAACATTTTGGTGTACAAGCTACTGGTGATGACAGCAGGTAATATATTAAACATACATTATGCAAGAGCTAAATCTGCCAATTACAGGTCTTTCTTTAGGCCTGAAATGCTATCTAAATTATTAAATAGACATTAATTAACTTATCCAGACCATAATCAACTCTCGGTGTCATCGCTAGCCTGCGATGTTTATTGGATTAGGTTCCAATTTGCTGTTCGACTTCCATTCATGATTTAATCATGAAATGGATTATTGAGACTATGTATTTTATCGTACCGACTTTAGTAACGATGATCAAGGCTAGGCCGAAAATTCAATCGCTAAAATCTTGGTTCAGAGTAGATCAATTTGACTGAAATTTTCAGCAAATTCCCTTTACATTCTGCCAGCTCTTTATCTAATCTTCCATAATGTATCTTTAATGTAAGATATTTAAATGATTATGGTAACTAGCTTCATTCTCAGTATCTCCACTTCACAAGCATTCTAATTCTAAAACAGAATACTACTGAATGATAATTTGTGTAGTACATTTTGTGAACCATGCTTTTTGAATATGATTTAAAATTATTTAAAAACCTACACGTGAAGTAAAGTCCATATTGTACAGATATGAGTCTAGGATTGCTTTTCTTACATGTGATGTACATATATTTTCTAACAGGTGTCACTAGTTTTCTGTTTATTATTGTGTGTTGGGTTGTCCTCCTACCATGCATTTACTATTCAGCATTTTAAGAATGATGGTGGAAGATCTGAACAGAATATTGATAATAATTTATAATATTTTTGTACTATAATTATATTTCAGTATAAGACAATATTCTCTACAAGTTAATGAAGATTTACCTGCAGAAAAGATTTACCATGGTGAAATCAGCAGATTAGGTTCATTTAATCTACAAAAACCGTAAGTAATATACAATACAATTACTTTAAAACCCACTTTGTTTATTCTGATAATATATTCTGGTATTTTACAGTGGATTAGGAAATGAAATGAAATGGGGTTTAGCATCCTACTGTTCTGCTCTGAACTGGGCTAATGAAGACGGGCATACTCCATACAGTGTGCTATGAGGGAAATTTTGCCCGGACAGCGGCACTACGGCCTACTCTTATATCGAATTTCAACTGTCAAGGGATCTTTTAAGTGCACGCCAATATATACACAGGACCACGGTTTTTTGTTCCATCCGAACGACTAGACAGCTGTCCTTGTCAGGCCCTCCATCCTGTATCAATGACAAGGGTGAACCAAGCTGGAAAATCTGGATGCACTTTCTCGGCCAATGCAAGGATCGAATACACCCAACCTCTAAGCTAGCGAGCCAGCGTCTTACCAACTTAGCCACCGTTACCCCCCACAGTGGATTTGGAAGAACTCATACCGAACAAACAAGTGAACACAGACATTAAGAGATTGTTTTGTCTCATTGTGATCTAGGACTGGATAATGAGACAAATTACTGATGTAATATTTGGTTTACTAAGAAGATGTTATCTACTTTCAGTAGTAGTGGTTAATGGACATGGACATTTAGACTTGATGCATTACATCAAATATTGTTTAGAGTACCACTCTGTTGTTCGAATTCTCAGAAATATTTTTTGTTTTGTTTAAATTTAAAGCCAAAATAATGAATGAAATATTGATGAATTTATTTTGCAGTAATTATGAGAACTGAATATGCCTTAATCTGGTTTGAATAATGTAAGCAATCTCTTTTGTATGTTATATTTCAGGCCATATGATGCTAAGAATCCATTCCTGGCTCCTATAATTGCCAATAGAGAATTACATAAGGGAGGTGATCGATCCTGTATGCACATAGAATTAGATATCTCAGGATCCAAAATAAGGTAGAAAAAAAAAATATATTTTCTAATTATACAGTTTTAACTGAAAAAGATTTCTTGAATATAAAGAAGTATAGGTTTCTCAATGTTCATACAATTGGATACGAGAAGAGGGACGGCAACACTCCCTTAGCAAGGTTACTATAGCTGGACAGGCTGATACATCTGCATGGATACTGGATCAAGAAAGATACCGGTGCAACGCAGGCGTAAATAAAATAGCTTAAAGAATTCCTGCTGAACAGTACAACAACAGACTTGGTAGAAGTGAAGATTGTTTAATTTTCACTTCTACCAAGTCTGTTGTGCTACTGTTGAGCGGGGATTCTTTAATTTGTTCATACAATTATGAAATTTAATGGTATGAGTAGATCCATTTCAATTGCATTCAAATTACTTACCGGTATATATTATTTTTTTGCAGATATGAATCTGGAGACCATGTTGCTGTTTATCCAATGAATGATCCAGATATTGTGGAGAGAATTGGTAAACGACTTGAGACAGATCTAGATACAGTTATTACACTTACTAATGTTGATGGTAAGATCTAGTTCTTATATTTAAACCCAACTGTAAGCCAGAGTGAGTAAAATCTGTGAAATCATGTTATACTACTGTGACATACTCTTATTATAGATTTTTAAAAAATGAACTGATTGCTAATATTAAATCGGTTACTCGATTATACAGTCACAGTTCGGTTGCTCATGTGAACTGATTAAAAAAATTAATAACCTATATTTGTTTTCATACCATATTCGTCTTTCAAACCAAGGAATTATAGCTACTAAAGTTGTAACAAATCACGAAAAGGTATGAGAGTTTTGTTTAGGCTACAATCACTCTGTGACCAATCGTCCCAAAACTTGCTACTAAGCAAGAGATAGTCTTGATCACCCTGAATTGTTATGTCCGTAATTTTTCATGAATAGGTAGTATTGGAATAGCTAGTTGTTGCCCCTGCTTTTCTGATTATTGTTAGAATTTGAACTATTGTTTGAAATAACAAACTGTTTTTTATTTTACAGAAGAAGCAAGTAAGAAACATCCATTTCCTAACCCAACTAGTTATCGTACAGCTTTAACGCATTACTTAGACATACAGAGTCCACCACGTACACATATTCTACGAGAACTGGCAGAATATGCGGAAGATCCTAAAGAAAAGGAATTCCTTATGTCCATGACATCTTCTGATGGAAAGGTAGACAACTTTTATAGTTTTATTTTCGTAATTGATACAAATTTTAACTTAACAAACATTATGGAAAAGCATTAGAATAATACAATAACATCGTCAAAATTTTAAAACATGAAAGTGAAAAGATTTTGATTGTTTATAATAACGTATTCAGCTTTATCAGATAGTTACTGAATACACAATCATACAAATTGAAATTGAAATCCTATATACAACAGTTGTTGCGAATCAACAGTTATCTCTTCTCAAAGTAAACTTAAGTTCCAAGATAAGGAAATGAACATGCTATTTTCACCATCTACTTATTGAAGCTCTTCTTACAGTAAAAGAACTGGCTAAATTTTCGACATACAGGTACACAAAAGGGAGACAACTCAGTTTTTTTACAGAAATATCAATGGAGATGATTTCTGACATAAATTTAAAATTACTATAACTCTTGATATCTGTAGATTAAGCCAGTGTTGATATGTAATCTATTTTGTGTTCTGCTGTGAAAATAGTAATGTTATAATTGAAATCCTTCAAATCTCTCATCAGTAATCAAAATTACACATCAAGTAAACCAAATTCTATAAACTTTAGATTATTTCCAGGTTTGGATTAAATCGGATGAAAAATGCTAATCAAAAGATTTTACCCACCATTTATTAGTGGCACTGGCTTGATTATTTCATCTACAGGAATGGCTGAATGTTTCAATTGACTAGATCTTTGTAAATTCTACAAAGATTTGAACCAGATTTTTTTTGAGATTCTACTTGCACAATATTGTAGTTTGAAAGGGATTTACAATCCATCAAATGACTATCAGTGGTTTTAAACAATTCATATTATTTGATTTGTGTATAATTTTGTATTTATGTTGTATATACAGGATAAGTATAACGATTGGATAGTAAAAGATCACAGAAATATATTGGCTATTCTAGATGATTTAAAATCTCTTAAACCACCTATGGATCATATTTGTGAAATGTTACCAAGGTTACAGGCTCGTTATTATTCCATTTCATCTTCACCGAAGGTAATATTTCATTGTATCATTTCATTGTATCGATCAATCTAGAAATTTCATCATCCTCTTTTAGCACTTTGAAAATAAAGCTTCTTAAAAATAATATTGTATATTCCTGGTCACAGCCTACTAAAAACTACTGAGCAAGGGAATTGCTCGATCCAAATAAATAAATCTATTGGTCAATGTATTCAACTTTTATATATCTGTGGATATAGATTTTATATTAAAAATTTACTATGTTAACTTTCTTTGCAGTTATAATATACTTCTTTTAATATAAATGGTCCCCTACCAAGGCTATACCCCTTAATACCCCTTAACCATGTAGTGATGCCTTCATGTGCTCTAGCCAATGGTTGACTCATGAAGGCTCTCTTAGAAAGGCTGAATTTACCTCTGTTCTTCTAAATTCTAGCAAGGAACAGTGTCTAGTTCAGATTGTATAAAAACTGAGGCTTCTAAATTCTAGCAAGGAACAGTGTCTAGTCGTTCGGATTGTTTAAAAATCGAGGTCCGATACACACTTTGACGTGTATGTAAATGAAACCTTGACAGAATACGAAATAAGAGTAGGCCATAGCGTCGATGTCAGGGCAAAATTTCATTCATAGCACCCTGTATGGCGTATGCCGATTTTCATTAGCCCAATTGGTGCAAAAAAGTAGGACGTTAAACCACATTTCATTTCTTCTGTATCCTTTAACTTGACATTATTTACAATATATACTTAATTTAATTATTTAAAATTCTTACAGATTCATCCAACAAGCATTCATATAACAGCCGTATTAATATCATACACAACAAGAACTGGGCGTTCGGTTAAAGGTGTGGCTACAAAATGGCTGGCTGATAAACCTATCACAGACGGCAAAAAATATACTGTCCCTATCTTTGTTAGAAAATCTCAGTTCCGTCTTCCGTTTAAACCAAGTACACCTGTTTTAATGATTGGACCCGGAACTGGATTAGCTCCCTTTAGAGGATTCCTTCAAGAACGTGATTTCCTGAAAAAAGAAGGTATATTGTACAGCCATTCTATTTAGTTTTTAGACCACATAAATAGGTCAATTTATATATCAAATTTGTATTTATCCTGGTGGAAATAAACATATGTTATGAGCTTATACAGGGGAAAAATCATTAGTTTAAATTGAAAGTATTTTTATAATTGATTGCCATAATAACACCAATACATATTACTTCTCCCTTATGTGGTACATATGCATTTCAAATTTGATATGGCCTGACAAGGACAGATGTCTAGTCCTTCGGATGGGACGAAAAACCGAGGTCCCGTGTATACATTGGAATGCACGTAAAAGATCCCTTGGCAGTTAGAATTCGATATAAGAGTAGGCGATAGTGCCGCTGCCCTGACAAAATTTCCCTCATAGCACACTGTATGGCGTATGCCCGTCTTCATTAGCAGAACAGTAGGACTTTAAACCCCATTTCATTTCATTTCATTTCATTTCAAATTTGATATTTCAGGTAAACCAGTAGGCGAAACTATTCTATATTTCGGATGTCGTTATAAGGCACAAGATTTTATTTATGAAGATGAAATCAATCAGTACCTTAAAGATGGAAGTTTGACCAAATTACACATTGCCTTTTCCCGGGACCAGAAAGAAAAAGTTTACGTACAACATCTACTGAATAAAAACAAGGAAGAAATCTGGAGACTTTTAGAAAATGGAGGCCATATTTATGTTTGTGGGTGAGTATACAGTCTCTATGTTTATTTCATGTGTGAAGTTGTTTTAACTAGACTACAGGTAACTTCATTAACTCTTAAACGACCCAGAGGTTTGACGTCATAACATCATAAAAACCCACGTCATAATGGTCAATAGTATTAAAATATAGATATGCATTTTAAAGTCATATCATTAATAAACAACTGTAGATGGACCCTTAATGTAAATGGATGAAATAATCTAAATTTAATGCCATTTTCATAAATATAAATTTATACAAAAAATTAATTTAGACATTTCATGCAAAATCCATGTATATAATGGTTATTTCTTTTTTTGTTTTTTTTGTTCAGCTGTTGTGAACTAAAAATTATTCATCATGAATCTCTTTTAATTTAAGCTTATTTAAGTACCGTAATAGAAATTTGTTGATTAACTAAGCCTACTTCTATCACGTTCTAGGCCTAACGCAAAACTGTAAAAATCTACACTACAGATAAAATCTGAATCACTGTCATTCAATAAGGATGGTAATTCGTCATTAGGTGAACGTTGCCGAATAGGTCTAGACATATCACCGTTTTATTATAATTTTTCAAGGAGAAACAGTAAGATTTTTAACTGTCAAAATGTCAAACAGGAAGTAAACAAATGAGATAAAGTCGTCTGTTCATAAGGGAAATAACTCTCATTACGCTAGGAACGTTGCATTCGGCTAACCGGTTTTGTCGACAAAAGTCGCCGTGGGTACTTAACGGTAACGTTATAGGTGTCGACAAAAGTCGCCTTGGGTCAGTTAAGAGTTAAGAGAATCAACTGAAAAATTGTTGCGGTTACATGAAAAACTTTCTTTCAAAATAAGCACACTACACTGCTTTTATGGAGTGTAGTCATCATTTTAATAAGTGCACAGTAAGTCAGTTATTACATTCAAATGTTGTAGCATCAGGATTTACATTTTAAATATATCCGAAAAGAAAATAAACAGAATATACAGGTTGCTAAAAATTCACGTCATTGGGGATTGGTTAATCATTAGGTATTTCCATTAATTGAATTTTTTAGTGAACTGAAATACGTAGTTTTGTTAATGTTGATCATCATTAGAATATAATCTACTAGTGAGCTCAAGAGTATGTGTGATTCATCCGGTGTTGTCTCGGCCACTAATTTTATGCAACATTTAATGTATTTTAGGGATGCTAGAAATATGGCACGAGAAGTACATGATATGTTAGAGAGAAGTGTGATAGAACAGGGTAATCTTGATGCTACTAAAGCTGCCGAGTACATAAAAAAACTACAATCAAAGGGACGCTACTCTTGTGATGTATGGAGTTGAGGATTTAATAATTTTAGGAATTTACAAATTTTGTCATTATTCAACAAACATACATCAGAAATATTTCATGTACATCCATTAATTCAATATTTGAAATCTGGTCTTCATTGTTAAATTTCCTAGAAGATTATTGTAATTGATTCCATTTTTGTTCTTTTACTTCAATTACGTAAAGAAGTTTTCTAAGTACGCTGCTGTTCTCCTGAATTCAATATTTATATTTATGTAGATTTTTAATATGAACAGAATTTAAACAAATATATGACAGTTTAAGAAAATTGTATTCAGAAATATATCAGCAGAATGATCAAACTTGTAAAATGAAATGGTGTTTAATGTACTACTGTTGTACAGCAACCAGACTAATGAATACATCTTGTACCTCTATGTTGTAAATGGCATTAATGTTTCACATACAATTGAATGATGGAACGATAATATGTGATACTGTTACTTAAGTCATTAGTCTATAAAGTATTTATATTACATGAAAGATGAAGGTATTTTTCAATGTTCTAAGTCAACAATTGTCCGTGTTAGATAATTGAAATGACCTAAATCCTACTTTGGGCATCCTTCATTTTACTGAAAACAAGATATCTCACAAGGCTAGCTCTAATTCAGGAAGATTTTCTTATTAATCTGCTTGGTGGTCAAAAGTTGTTCTAAGAAGGACAACTCTTGGCTTAGACCGTTGAAAAATATGTTCATTCTTCATGTAATATATATGCTTATAGACTAATGACTTAATTAATATAGTCAAGATTTGCTGACTATTATACACTGCTCATTCAAATACTGATAACATTTTGAAATATGTTTTAACAAGTTTATTATGATTGACATGTTTGATAGATTATCCAAAGATTATGACATTGTACATAAAATTGATTAAGAATTGTGTAATAATTTTAGTGTTGTAAATGTTAAAGTCATTAATTGTTGTTGTAATTGTGCAATTTTGTGCTTTTATAAAAAAGAATATTCTTTCATAAATCAATAATAAAAATTAATTTCAACTGAAATTAGATATTTATAATCCACATTTTATGCGAAATTATCTGGTCGTGACGCTTGTTTGATTGTCCATATGGAGTTATTGCTCCTGTCACTGATTCCTTCTACACACTCTACATTCTACAAGTCTAAAATTTTTGGATTTTTAATTTAAATATGCTGGGTTTCTCGAGGCAAAGATGAACCCTATTAAATTTCACAGTCATGCATTGTTTGTACACATTCAACATCTGAGACTTTTTGAGGGGGATTATTTACTTCTTAACTGAGTAACATCCTCTTGATGCAATCACTGCCTCACTTAAAAAATTTGCTAGTGGGCTAATTTTGATTGCCTTGCAGCATTGCAATGTTTCATCATTTTTTATATTTTGGACAACGTGATACAGTGTAAATTATATGTACAGTTTTATTTTTAAAGATAAAATTCGTATATGTATGCATTTTAAAGATACTGAAATATTTATAAAATGCTATATTATTATTAGTCATTCATTATTCATTATTTTTAGAAGGTTATTATGATAAAGTTAAATTGATTAAACTTCAAACGATTTATTCCTTGTGTGCCTTGAAATACTGTGAATTACGATAAAATAATGAATTTATACATTCTAATTGTAACCATCATTTTAATGGTTTGGTTTTGAATCCATTATCCTCAGGGGTCATGGCTAAAACTAAGCTGCTAAATATTGTTATTATAAAATGCACATAATATACAGTTTGAGGTTATTATGTATCCTCAAGTGCCAGATTAAAAGGATTCTTATTATATTGTTATAATGTAATATTTATACTGGGTCCATTGAGAATATATGTGTTTCTAATCATCAACATATTTATTGGGTTTCTCACAAAGCTTTGCTGTATCGATTTCACTCTCCATTTGTTTACATATTAATATTCCTTAATTTTGTTAAATAGAAATCTGATATTTATGTAGAGATTATATATATGATTGTTAATGAAGTATTGTAATAGGTTTGTTATTGTTCAGCACATATACATGTATAAATAGTATCACAATGACAAGGACTTTCTGATTACACTTAAAATCAGTCAATTTCTCTCTTCAGAGAGCTCTCTTCCGAGAGTGTTTTGGGTTGGGTTAAGAATGCATTCACTCATTAAATTTTGTTTTTTCCCACTACCTACCATATAGAAATTATTTTTGTACTACAGAGTACAGACATATATATATAGTATTTCATTTACCTATTGACATTGTATATTGAACTTTACATTATAGTAAATGTGATCAATAAACATGTGTGCTCAGTGGTAGATTCCAAATACAAGGGAAATATAACTCTATTTGTGGAGATGGTTGGACCCTCTTATCACCACAAAAAACTACCACAATACAGAAAAACCTATCTGCCAGTAATGTATTATTTATTAGATTTTAATTATGTATTTAATTATAATATATATGTATGACACTAAGCAACTCCCCTGGTATAAAGTTGGGTTTGTTGGCATTTGTATGCTAGGATGACTGAAACATTGCAATGTCAAACAGTCGTGCTGTGTTTTGGCTTACTGCTCAATAAAACAAAGTAAACAGTACACAAATACAACACAGACAATGGAACGAAGCCGTTAGCTACAAGACAATACAACCATTAATCTCCTACATGAGTTATATATATATACTATTCAAAAAAAGTAGGGGATATTTGATTTTTAAGTGTTATTAAAGTCACCTAATGAAACTGACGAAGAAACAAATGACAAAATGAAATGAAGTTCACATTCATCGATTTATTCCAAATGATCGTTAGACTAAGTAAGGCACAGACTGACCATTATAAGGGTAAAATGATACCCGGGGTCAAACAGCAAAGTTACCACAGCATCACAACCAAGTCAGTAACGGGTAAATCCTCCTCTGTTTGCCAAACAAGCATTGATCCGACGTGGCATACTCCTAATGAGACGTCTAAGGTCATTTTGGTCCAGATTGTCCCATTCCTGTTGCAACGCAGCAGCAAGTTCTTGGACATTGGCAGGACGTTGTTGACGTTGACGTAACCTCTGTCCAAGCATGTCCCAGACATGCTCGATGGGGGAGAGGTCGGGACTCAGTGCTGGCCAAGGTAATGTGGTGATGTTCTGTTGTTGGAGGTAACCTGTAACGATCCTGGCCCTGTGACATCTTGCGTTGTCATCCTGGAAGATGAAACGACGTCCATGACGTCGAGCGAACGGCACAACATGGACTGCCAAGATGTTGTCCCGGTAGTACTGGCCTGTAACACGCCCTGCAACAACATGTAAAGCCGTTCTTCCAGCAACAGTGATGCCTCCCCACACCATAACAGAACCACCCCCAAATCGATCATGTCTGATGACGTTAACGTCTTGGAAGCGCTCGTTTCGACGACGCCACACCCTCCTACGTCTGTCCAAAAAATCAACAGTGAACCTTGACTCATCTGAAAACATCACATTGCTCCAGCGTCGATTATCCCAGTGTTGACGATCCCTACACCAACGACGTCTTGCCTGAATGTGATGATCTCTCAAACAAGGGATCACGCGAGGACGTCGGGCGCGAAGGTGACCCCTATGCAGTCGATTCCGAATCGTCTGGCCACTCACTCTCACACCAGTGTCTGTTTGAAGACGAGCGCTGATCTGATTTGCTGTGATGACACGATTTCTCAAGGCCATGGTTTTGATAAATCGATCCTGGGCTTGAGTTGTCGCCCTTGGTCGACCTGAGCGTGGTCTGTCCTGTACAGATTGTGTATCGTGGTATCTGGACCATAGCCTGCTTATGACAGACTGAGAAACATTCATCGTCCGCGCCACAACCGCCTGTATTGTGCCGATCTGTAGCATGCCAAGGGCACGTAACCTTTCATTTTGGGTAAGCCGACGCATATCAAAATTTGTTTTCTGGTCACTAAAACAATTAAACTGATGTTTCCACCCTGGAATTCAATGCCACAATGACTGTAACATTCAAAGTCAGAGTCGTGCAAATCTTGGGTTGGACCCCCATGATGACCCCAAGCATCACCTGCATTCCATGCGGTAGCTATTGGTGCGTTTGGGCGTCACATGTAACTGGAAATGTTTCTTCTGTTAGGTTCTATAGTGACTTTTTTCGTAGTCATTTGCATATTTTAGTATTATGCCCCCAAAATCAAATATCCCCTACTTTTTTTGAATAGTATATATTGATTATTTTAGTGATATAAATAAGTGATTTAAATTCCTAGAGTAATAAATATTTGTAAGCTGAACAAATGTATAACTATTATATTAGTATATGTTATTATAAACACAACTATGAAATACATGTAAGTTATTTGTAATAAATCCTGTAACAACCATTTCTTCTTAATTATTAAATTCCCAACATCATTCGGTGTGTAAATTATTAGTCTCTTTTAATTTTTATACGCCCACATTGAAATGTGGACGTATATTGCCGTCGCCCCCGTCCGTCGGTCTGTCCATCGTCCACAATTTCTTGTGAACGCTCTAACGCCAAAAGTTATTATCCAATTGTTTTAAAATTGATATATGTTGTTTACATTAGTGAGATGAAGAAGCATATTTAATTTCAATAATTTCCGTTTATTACGTCTAGAGTTATGGCCCTTGTTTCACTTTGTTGAACCTTGTGAACACTCTAATGCCAAAAGTTAACATACGATCTTTGTGAAATTTATATGCAATATTTAAGTTAGTGAAACGAAGAAGCCTATTGAATTTCAACAATTTCTATTTATTATGTCTAGAGTTATGGCCCTTGTTTCACTTTATTGAACCTTGTGAACGCTCTAACTCCAAAAGTTATCATCCGATCTTTCTGAAATTTACATGCATTATTTAAATTAGCGAAACGAAGAAGCCTATTCAATTTCAGCAATCTCCGTTTATTACGTCTAGAGTTATGGCCCTTGTTTCACTTTATTGAACCTTGTGAACGCTCTAACGCCAAAAGTTATCATCGGATCTTTCTGAAATTTATATGCATTATTTAGATTACTGAAACGAAGAAGCCTATTGAACTTTATTACGTCTAGAGTTTTGGCCCTAGTTTCACGTTATTGATCCTTGTGAACACTCTAACGCAAAAGGTTGTCACCCAATGTTTGTGAAATTTATATGCATGATTTAAATTAGTGAAACGAAAAAGCCTATTGCATTTCAGCAATTTACAATAATTACTTCTAGAGTTATTGCCCTTGTTTCATTTTGTTAAACCTTGTTAATGCTCGATTGATAATAGTTATTATCCGATATGTATGAAATTTATATGCATCATTTAAATTTGTGAAACAGGTCTATTGAATTTCAGTAATTTCCGTCAATAATTTCTCGAGTTATGGCGATTGTGAACGTTTGAATGACAAAAGTGATCATTTGATCTGTATGAAATTTATATGCATTATTTAAATTAGTAAAACGAAAAAGCCTGTCAAATTTCAACAATTTCTGTGGATTACTTCCAGAGTTGAGAACCTTGTTTCAGTTTGTAGAACCTTGTAAACCCTCAAACGACAAAATTTATAATCTGATCTGTATGGAACTGTCTTGTAAAGGGCCCCAATTACCTACAAAGGAATAAATATGCGACAAGGCTTGACGACCGATCGGACGATTTAGCTGCTGTGGGCGTATGTTTTGTTGCCTGGCAACCTATCTTTAAAATTGAAGAAGAGTGTTTTGATTAACATTTATGTGTCTGGTTTTTGTAAATATTCATGTTTTAGAGGCGGAAGGATAACAGAGTTAAAGATGTTGGTTACAGTGATATGTATATTATTATAAAGCCGGACTCCCTTTAGATTTTGCTTTATCTTAAAGCAGCACTACATCTTGCATTATTAAATTTTTAGGTGCTGCAAATGGATATGTATTTTTTTTTATCGGACAGATCGTAATGACTAAAGATTGCTTCTTGTTGCAAATAAAGTTGTGTTAATGGAAGTCTTAAAGTAGCTAAGTATCTAACTCAATATCATCCAAAGTCATACACGTTGAAAATAAGAATTATTTGTCAATTCAAATCAACATTGATGTTGTGATCTTACCAGGAAAAGATAGGCTTCTGATATCCAATATTTAAGACAGAATAAACATTTTACCATTGGTACACGAATCGTGTATCATAGTGCGTTTTGGCGTCAAGGTCGAATTCTGGACCTATTATTCACCAGCCACCCAAGCCTTATCCAGAGATATATTACATGCCCACCTTTTGGTCTAAGTGACCATGACATTCTATCCGTGACGACCAACCAGTTATAAATAAAAAGGCACCAAGAACAGTTTATAAATATAAAAAAGCTGAATGGGACAACATACGACATGATATGTCAGTCTTTAGGGAAGAATACCTTCGAACATCCAACTCTAAACCCGTTGAAGACAATTGGACTACTTTTAAACAAGCATTGTTCGCCTCCATGGATAAGAACATTCCAAAGAAGGTGATCAAAGGCAAACCAGACATACCTTGGATGACCCAAAAGATAAAACGTATGATACGCAAAAAACAGAAACTGTATAACACAGCCAGGAACTCACAAAGTAAAAAAGACAAAGAATCATTTAATAAATACAGGAAAACAGTAAGGAATGAACTTCATACATCATACTATAACTACATTAGTAACCTCGTTGAACCAGAAGATGATAAAGCCGGCAAAAACTTTTATAAGTACATAAAGTCAAGGAAACAAGACACCATGAGCATTGGCACCTTGAAAAGCAACGGCCGCATTGGAGACAGCACGAAAGAGAAAGCTGAGATGCTCAACGACCAATTCTGCTCAGTATTTACAGAGGAGGACCTTATTAACATACCCAGCAAAGGAATGTCACCACATCCAACAATGCCGAATATTCAAGTTACAGCAAAGGGAGTGACTAACTGTATAAAACGACTTAATGTGAAGAAGGCAAGTGTTCCTGATAAGATGCCTATTATAGCATTAAAAGAAACTTCGATTGAAATAACACCTATCTTACAAGAACTATATCAGCAATCTTTAGATACCCATGAAATACCTAAGGACTGGAAACAGGCCAACATAATCCCAATATTTAAGAAAGGTGATAGAACCAAACCGGCTAATTATAGACCAGTGAGTCTCACTGCAGTAGTATCAAAGATGCTAGAACATATAGTAGTTTCACAGATCATGCACCACCTTGATACCAACAACATTCTACATGAAAACCAGTTTGGGTTCCGCTCAAAAAGATCATGCGAGTCACAACTCCTTCTCTCGACAGACGAAATCTCCTGACATATGAATCAAGGCCTACAGGTGAATATGGCGATACTCGATTTTGCGAAAGCCTTCGACAAGGTACCACATCGCAGATTGGCGGAGAAGATGTCATACTACGGGATTCGTAACAATACCCTGTCATGGGTTAGTAGCTTCCTCAGAGGACGCCTACAACAAGTGGTGATAGACGGCGAAACATCCAACCTATCCCATGTCACATCAGGCGTCCCACAAGGCACGGTGCTCGGGCCCACGCTATTTTTACTGTTTATAAATGACATTGCGTCTAATATATCCTCCTCTACAATACGCCTATTTGCGGACGACTGTGTAATTTATATCCCCATAACATCTCAAGACGACCACTTACTACTTCAAAAAGATTTGAACACCCTGGTAGAATGGAGTAACACCTGGCAGATGCAGTTCAATATTAACAAATGTGCAATCATGAATATATCAACAAAGAGGAAAGTTTCCAATTTTGATTACAAAATGGAAGGAATATCGTTAGAAGTCGTCAAAATCCATCCATATCTAGGAGTAGAACTCCATGAAAAACTGAAATATAACTTACATATAGACAACATAACCACAAAAGCTTCAAGAGTTTTAGGGTTCCTGAAACGTAATCTAAAACATTGCCCAAAAAACGTGAAAGAACGTGCCTACCAAACATTAGTACGACCGAAACTTGAGTATAGTTCACCAATTTTGGAACCCGCAGCAGAAAACACAAGTGAAACAAATAGAACAGATCCAACGTAATGCAGTTAGATTCGTACTTAGCAAGCCATATACTTATCAGAACCCTAGTAGCGTGACACTCATGATAAACCAGCTGAAGTGGCCATCGCTGGAACAACGCAGACAACATTCGGACTTAGTACTTATGTACAAAGTTATGCATAAGCTGGTAGCAGTACCAACATCTATACTACCAGACCCATCAGTTCGACACAGCAGAAAGTTCATACCATACCACTGTAAAATTAACGCATATCAACACTCATTCTTCCCACGCGTAATCGCTCATTGGAACCGCTTACCGGACCGAATTCTACAGTTGAACTCACTGGACAGCTTTAAGGAAGCATTACAGTCAACCGTGTAACCCGAGTCATTAAATGTATAGTGTACATACAAGTTGAACTTCTTAACCCTTCACGCTATGGGGGAAGATCCGACCTCGCGCATGTACAGTTCACCCAGCACCTTCACGTCATGTCCATCAGAGGATCTTGTGAAGAATCTCATTGAAGTTGGAGGGCTAGCGCTAATCCCAATCCTAACCCTAACCCTGGACCTAGCCCTAACGCTTACCATAACCTACAATCTCGCTAACCTCATTTACATCTCAGCGACCTTGACGAAAATTGAGTTGGCCATAACTTTAATAGGTCAAGTTATTGTAGCTAACATGCCGTTGGCTTTGAACGTCCAGATGTAAATGTATCGAGGTGAGTTAAAGCTCGTGGGGAATGGCCGAATAACGTTTGTGTAAATCACTTAATAGCACTCAAGAAAGATCTCTGATTATTTAGTGCTACAGTGTCGATAAACACTCCAAATTTAGAGGGGTGTTATCGTGCAATCTACTGACATTGTTCATTGGCTTACTTCGTAATATTTTGAACTAAATCAATCTACAGTTTAATCCAAAAAGGAAACTGGAGTGGATAATCCAATCGAATTCCTCTTATTAATCTGAAACAAAAATTTATTCGCACGAATCTTGTCTCATCACCTTTCGAAGTATTTTAGGATTTCATTTACACCTAAACAAAAATTCTTAGCCATGCTTTTAGATTGGCAACGAAACTTTAAAATAGTTATGTTCAAGAAACTGATTTGAAATTAGAATACCTGTTCGGAAGTGCTTTAAATTTCACTATTTCAATCGATATTCGTTGTTTTCGGCATACGTTAAAATATCAAGCCGTTATTATATGATAACGAATATTAATTAGCGCTATTATTGTAAATGGTATCCCTGCTCTTTCATTACCATCTCAATTATGTCTTATCAAGGCGACATATTTTAATATAAGAAAATAACGCCAATTATCATTAGTTAATGCATA